AAGTATATGGCTTTACAAGCATAACTGAACGACCAAATTGAGTGAGTGAAGGTCAATTCTAATGATAAAAATACAGACTAAGACATTTATATCTTCTTGCAAACATAAGATAGATCTCAAGCGGCAACATGCTAGGAGACAATTTGTCCAATAGTACCATTAATACTAACAATAATCAAATCCACAAACAATTCTACATTCTGTTGCCAGACGTAACCATTCATTATCCCCAAGAACATTTCTAGCAACGTTTTTTCCTCATAGAGACACACATACTTTTCATGACTGCCTGATAATGATAAGATAGATAAAGAGAGGTGCCAGAAAAGTTAAAAGATGCATGCTAGAAAAATGAATCAGCTTGTCACAAGATACAGAATTCTGCAAAAAGCATGCTTTGAGACACTATAGGAAACTGAAGATGCACCTTCTACAGTAGGATGACATCCTACACCACTGGAGTCCCCTAAGTAAGACAGTACTTCATCTCTGTCTAATTTTATCAACTTTTTCCCGTGGGATGTTTCCGCCGGGAGGAAACAGTAACTTGGAGGCATAAAAAACCAAAATTTTCATCATATAAACATATTATGCATCGATTATACCCTATAAATAAACACAATCCCAAATGCCCGAGTAACCCGACAACCCTGAAACATCTATTAGCTTCCTAATCAATTGCCCAGAAAATTAGCGACCAAGAACGAGTAAAAGGGACAGCAAAAGTATTCTCCAATCAAAGAAGTGCACAACCACATTTATTACTGGTAATTTGTACATCACACATAATCGTCAACGACCCCAACACAAAGGCAGCAACAGGAAAGGTCCCATTTTCCATCATACCCATTAGAAATCAAGACCGGAAACGACATCGTAACCAATAAAAAAGCATAGACGCGCATAGATAAGCGTATAAGAGCAAAGAAATTTAAGAGACGACGCGGCCAACAACAGGGTACTTAGCTTCGAACTTCTTCTCCCAGTCATTAAGAACCCCAATCTCCTTCTCGGAGAGGCCATCAAGGGAGGAAATAATGTCCTCTTCGTTCTTGCTCATCTTGGCCAGAGCTCGGCTGGCGTCTTTGCCGGCAAACATGGTGTACGCACCGCCCGGGCCGTAGAAGGATGAACCGGTGGTGACATCGAAGACCCGGCCCTTAAGTGCAACGTATATCGGCTTTGATGGGTCAGAGCCATTATATTGGCCGAGTTGCTGGGCAGTGAACTCCATGGATCGTTTGGTTTGGTTTGGTTTGGTTGGTGGGGAAGATGCAAGGAGAGTGCGGGAGAGATCAGAGACGAGAGATGAGGGACGATCCCACCGTTGAATCTCGCTTTTATTGTATGGAAAAAGAAATTTAATTGGAGGGATAACAATAGGACAGATTTAGAAGAAATCACCCGTAATTTAAATACTAAAATCTGAATTAATTCTGAATCCGCAATTATTGTATAATTTTAAAAAATTTTAGACCATAAATTTAAATTAACACACTCCATCTGACCATTTATTATTTTTTTATTTGGATGTTTCAACTACTAAGTAGAGTTAGTTTATATTATTTTTTATATTAGAAATATATAACATGGTGGATTGAAACACGTGAATTTTGTACTTTCAAATTCAATCTAATCCAGTTGCATTTGGA